CTCCCTCCCCGTACCGATGTTCCCCTCCAGGGCCAGGCGCAGCCCGGCCCCGCACCGCCCCATCCCCGCCGCCGCTTCCGCCTCTCCCGCGTCACATGCTAATGACATGCTAATGAGGCGGCGCGCGCGACGTCACCGCGCGGGAAGTGGGAGGGAAGGAGGGAGGGAGAGGAAACTGCCGGGGGGGAGGAGGGGAGGGGGAAAGGGAAGAGAGGAAGGACACAGCCGTGGAAATAGGGAGAGGGAGGAGGGAGTGGGGGTGTGTGGTATGGTAATTTATGTAAATGAGTCCCCGCCCACCACAGGTGCGGGCAATAGGGGAGAGGGTAGGGCACAAAAACGGGGGTGGGCGTAGCGCTGTGGGGTTGGGGTCACCAACATGGGGGCAAGAGCATCATCAGGGTGTTGGGGGCACCAGCAAGGGGCCAAGGGTACTGATACAGGGTTGGAGTCACCTGCGTGGGGATGGGGACGTTTATATGGGGCTGGGGGTCACCAGTGTGGGGTTAAGGATGTCAGAGTGGAGCTGGGGTCACCAACACAGGCTTGGGGTCACCAACACGGGGTCAAGGGTATCAAGACCCTGGGTTGGGGTCACCAACAAGGGGTTGGGGTCACCTACGTGGGGTCAAAGGCCTCGATGTGGCGTTGGAGGCGTCAGTACGAGGTTGGGGACACCCAACATGACACTGGGGGCACCAACATGGGGTCTGGGGCACTGACACGGGGTTGGGGGCATTGAGGCAGAGTCAAGGCCATCAGCATGACCTCATGAGCACCAACATGAGCTTGGGGGTCCCCCAGCCCTCCCCTTGTTTCTCTCAGCTCCCCCTGACGCCCCTGTCACCCCCCACCCCCCAAATCTCCCAGAGAAGGGTCAGACCCTGGAGAAAAGGCTTTTTAATGCGCAGTGGGTGGGGGGGAGGAGCAGCGGAGGCTGAGGAGGAGGAGGAGGAGTGGAACCCCCCAGGCCAGGCCGGGGGGGCCACCACAGGGCGGGGAGGGGGCTTAGAAGCATTTTCGGTGGACGATGGAGGGTCCGGCCTCGTCATACTCGGGTTTGCTGATCCACATCTGCTGGAAGGTGGAGAGGGACGCCAGGATGGAGCCGCCGATCCACACCGAGTACTTGCGCTCCGGGGGGGCGATGATCTGTGGGGACAGGAGACGTCAGGGTGCACCCCTGGATCCAACCCCCAAAACCAGCACTGGGGGTTCATGGGATTCATGGGATCACTGAGGTTGGAAGAGACCTCTGGATTCATCGAGTCCAACCTGTGACCCAACCCCACCTAAACCTGCCCTGGGGCAGCTCAAGGCTGTGCCCTCTTGTCCTGCTGCTGGTTCCTGGGAGCAGAGCCCGACCCCCCCCGGCTCCCCCTCCTGTCAGGGGGTTGCAGAGAGTGAGAAGGTCCCCCCTGAGCCTCTTCCTGTCCAGGCTGAGCCCCCCCAGCTCCCTCAGCTGCTCCTCCCAGCACTTGTGCTCCAGCCCCTTCCCCAGCCTCGCT